GTTACTGACAATATGTTCAAAAACTGAGATGAACCGAATAGGTTTTCACAGGGAAATCGCGATGTGAAGGAGGAGCTTAGAAAAACACGTCCGAATACTAGTTGAGCTGAGCACTGATAGGTCTTGATTAGTAGAACAAAGTTGCCATACAATCCTTCTTTCTATCTCTTGTAGTTTTTTCAAAGCCGTCTTATATCTGAAAATATAGGAAAAACATGGTAACAGATGAAAATGAAAAGACAAGTAGCTAAGACGGCCAACAACTTTTGATTGGAATGTCCGATTTAAGCCATACTTTCTGAGTTTATAGGTCTTGATGAGTAGAACAAAGTTGCCATACAATCCTTCTTTCTATCTCTTGTAGTTTTTTCAAAACCGTCTTATATCTGAAAATAAAGGAAAAACATGGTAACGGATGAAAATGAAAAGACAAGTAGGTAAGACGGCCAAGAACTTTTGATTGGAATGTCCGATTTAAGCCATAATTACTGAGTTTATAGGTCTTGATGAGTAGAACAAAGTTGCCATACAATCCTTCTTTCTATCTCTTGTAGTTTTTTCAAAGCCGTCTTATATCTGAAAATAATGGAAAAACATGGTAACGGATAAAAATGAAAAGACAAGTAGCTAAGACGGCCAATAACTTTTGATTGGAGTTTTTTCAAAACCATCTTATATCTGAAAATATAGGAAAAACATGGTAACGGATGAAAATGAAAAGACAAGTAGCTAAGACGGCCAATAACTTTTGATTGGAATTTGCGATTTAAGCCATAATTGCTGAGTTTATAGGTCTTGATGAGTAGAACAAAGTTGCCATACAATCCTTCTTTTTTTCAAAACCGTCTTATATCTGAAAATATAGGAAAAACATGGTAACGGATGAAAATGAAAAGACAAGTAGCTAGGACGGCCAATAACTTTTGATTGGAATGTCCGATTTAAGCCATACTTTCTGAGTTTATAGGTCTTGATTAGTAGAACAAAGTTGCCATACAATCCTTCTTTCTATCTCTTGTAGTTTTTTCAAAGCCGTCTTATATCTGAAAATAAAGGAAAACATGGTAACTGATGAAAATGGTTGGACAAGAAGGTAAGACAGCCAATAACTTTTGATTGGAATGTGCGATTTAAGCCATACTTTCTGAGTTTATAGGTCTTGATGAGTAGAACAAAGTTGCCATACAGTACTTCTTTCTATCTCTTGTAGTTTTTTCAAAACCGTCTTATATCTGAAAATATAGGAAAAACATGGTAACGGATGAAAATGAAAAGACAAGTAGCTAAGACGGCCAATAACTTTTGATTGGAATGTCCGATTTAAGCCATACTTTCTGAGTTTATAGGTCTTGTATAGTTGTGTCCCCTTGTATTAGGTCAACAAGGGGTCATTGTAAGAGGGGTTCCCAGGCAAAGACAAACACGAGAGAATAACTTCAAAACGTTATAATTATTCTAAGCTTCAATGTATGTACAAGTGTGTGACAAAGGTTTTTAAGTTCGTTAGACCGGCGGCGTGCGTTCAGCGTGGTTCGACCGTACAGACTGTTCCTTCTTTTTCTCGTTCCTTCTCATGCTCTCGCTATACACCTTGGTCCAGATGCGAGACACTTGGAGATACTCGTGAACTAACGTATTCACTGGCCAAATTGTAGAATCAAGTGCTTTAGGGAACAAATGGTCTGTAAGAAGAATTTTAAATGAAGATATGTTACGCTTTTGCTTAAAATTAAATTTGTAGACAGAAATAGCGTTATCTGGAGCAAGAAGTTTATCGCAAAGGTAGATTTTCACATCCTCAGCAGTGGCTTCTGGGTTGAGTCTGGATACAAATATGGATTTTTGAATGACCCCACTTAGAGGGATGCCCGAGACTGCAGGAGTCCCCACGCTTTTTCTCTGGTCCGTTCGGCTTGGAACACCACTCAAAGGGATGTTAGAACGACCTGGAGCCAGCCGTCTTGGGCTAGGCAGATCGTTTATAGTAGAAACTGCACATGATGCAGAGACTGAGACACCAGGAACCAGCTGCAATCCAGGAGTGGCGAGGTTTTGTTCCGGTGGAATATTACCAGGGGATGCCGCAGCTAATGCAGAGTGCGACTGCATTGGTAAGTTGTCTGAAGATCCAGATGGAGTAGTATGAGCAGGTGGAAGAGACGGTGTAAGATAGATTGGAGAGTGTTCCATGATGTTAGCACCAGTAGGAGTAGAGAGCATCGTGGTTGTCAGCCCGTTTGCAGGAAGTTGGAGATTATTTGGAATCTTCCTTTTCGGTGATTCACTTAGAATCTTAAGACCGAGAAACTGGGATTCCACTGCCAGGAACTTGTCGTTCATAGAGGTGAGGAGTTTTCGAACCTCCATAAATCCGGTCCTAGTTTGCCTCATGAAGGTGCGCATTTCATCCGTCATCTCACGGCATGCCGTGCAAGACCAGGTGAAGCCGACTTTTTTGGAGATTAAATCCCCAATACGGCCATTGAAACCGGCTCCGGCGCACTTAACGTGCGCGCAATTGTCGCACAGCCAGCATATAAGGAAAGTGTCTCCGCTGATAATGTTATTATACTCGCATTTTTTTAGCAGTGCAAATGATAGTCATTTTGGCTGAGTATCAGGTCACTGTGCAGCAGACAAGCGTAGGTGTATAAGCGGCAATAGCGGCAGGGCAGAGCGGCAGCAGGGCAAAGAGCAGTCGGATGTAAGCGTCGAAGAGCAGAGCAGCAGCAGAGTAGAAAGCAGTCGGTTGTAAGCGTCGAAGAGCAGAGCAGCAGCTGGGCAGAGAGCACTTGGATGTAAGCGTCGAAAAGCAGCGAAAGGCAGCAGCACTCCAGAGAGACGAAGTTAGCGCTGAAGAACCGATCGAAGCGCAGTGCAGTGATTGCAAGTTCGTGTAGATGTTCGTGGCAAGCACAAAGAGAGCAGTTTCCCCAACAACAAACTTTATGTTTAGCTGTGACGCTGGCAAAACAGAGCGCGATTGTGTGAATGTTCGCGGCAAACACAGAGAGAACAACAAAAACAAACTTTAGGTTTAGCGGTAACGCTGGCAAACAGAGCATTAGCAAATATATTCTGTTGCCAATTTTGTTTTGCAAGTTATTATGTTACTGTCTTTTTAAAGTATCCAAACGGCTCGTATTGTTTAAGATTGCAGTGTTACTGACAATATGTTCAAAAACTGACATGAACCGAATAGGTTTTCACAGGGAAATCGCGATGTGAAGGAGGAGCTTAGAAAAACACGTCCGAATACTAGTTGAGCTGAGCACTGATAGGTCTTGATTAGTAGAACAAAGTTGCCATACAATCCTTCTTTCTATCTCTTGTAGTTTTTTCAAAGCCGTCTTATATCTGAAAATATAGGAAAAACATGGTAACAGATGAAAATGAAAAGACAAGTAGCTAAGACGGCCAACAACTTTTGATTGGAATGTCCGATTTAAGCCATACTTTCTGAGTTTATAGGTCTTGATGAGTAGAACAAAGTTGCCATACAATCCTTCTTTCTATCTCTTGTAGTTTTTTCAAAACCGTCTTATATCTGAAAATAAAGGAAAAACATGGTAACGGATGAAAATGAAAAGACAAGTAGGTAAGACGGCCAATAACTTTTGATTGGAATGTCCGATTTAAGCCATAATTGCTGAGTTTATAGGTCTTGATGAGTAGAACAAAGTTGCCATACAATCCTTCTTTCTATCTCTTGTAGTTTTTTCAAAGCCGTCTTATATCTGAAAATAATGGAAAAACATGGTAACGGATAAAAATGAAAAGACAAGTAGCCAAGACGGCCAATAACTTTTGATTGGAGTTTTTTCAAAACCATCTTATATCTGAAAATATAGGAAAAACATGGTAACGGATGAAAATGAAAAGACAAGTAGCTAAGACGGCCAATAACTTTTGATTGGAATTTGCGATTTAAGCCATACTTTCTGAGTTTATAGGTCTTGATGAGTAGAACAAAGTTGCCATACAATCCTTCTTTCTTTCAAAACCGTCTTATATCTGAAAATATAGGAAAAACATGGTAACGGATGAAAATGAAAAGACAAGTAGCTAGGACGGCCAATAACTTTTGATTGGAATGTCCGATTTAAGCCATACTTTCTGAGTTTATAGGTCTTGATTAGTAGAACAAAGTTGCCATACAATTCTTCTTTCTATCTCTTGTAGTTTTTTCAAAGCCGTCTTATATCTGAAAATAAAGGAAAACATGGTAACTGATGAAAATGGTTGGACAAGAAGGTAAGACAGCCAATAACTTTTGATTGGAATGTGCGATTTAAGCCATACTTTCTGAGTTTATAGGTCTTGATGAGTAGAACAAAGTTGCCATACAGTACTTCTTTCTATATCTTGTAGTTTTTTTAAAACCGTCTTATATCTGAAAATATAGGAAAAACATGGTAACGGATGAAAATGAAAAGACAAGTAGCTAAGACGGCCAATAACTTTTGATTGGAATGTCCGATTTAAGCCATACTTTCTGAGTTTATAGGTCTTGTATAGTTGTGTCCCCTTGTATTAGGTCAACAAGGGGTCATTGTAAGAGGGGTTCCCAGGCAAAGACAAACACGAGAGAATAACTTCAAAACGTTATAATTATTCTAAGCTTCAATGTATGTACAAGTGTGTGACAAAGGTTTTTAAGTTCGTTAGACCGGCGGCGTGCGTTCAGCGTGGGTCGACCGTACAGACTGTTCCTTCTTTTTCTCGTTCCTTCTCATGCTCTCGCTATACACCTTGGTCCAGATGCGCGAACGATCAGCTGATCGGGTCGCTCTCAAACTATCGGGACAAGCAGTAAACTGAACATGCCGCCCGCCAATGCTAGACCTAGCATGAGACATCCTTCGCTTGTCCTGGTCCTCTGGGATGTGGTGGTGATAAGCTAACTCGGCCGTGTGTTCTTGGTATCTAATATGGAGAGATGAGAACAAGATGTGTGCGCAAGCTACAGTCTATAAATTGGGGTGTACAAGTGAGTGCGCCTAAGCCCGAATTGGCAGAGGACAGAGCTTTGTTACGGATCGCTTCAGCTGTCCCTGCTTGGTTTTAAGTGTTACCACCCGGACCAGTGCGTCTGTCCCTGGGTGCAACTCCATAACACGCCCGAGTAACCATTGTGACGGTGGGAACCGGTCGTCCTTGATGATGACAAGGTCGTCGAGACGAAAATTTTCAGCCTCTTGGCACCACTTTGGTCTCTGCTGTAGATGCGCTAACCAGTCACGACTCCAAGCCTTCCAGAAATGTCGTATCATCGCCTGCTGGATAAGGAACTGCTCTGCGAAGGATCTGGATTGCGGCTGATATTCCGGCGGCGCCAGCATTGAGTCTCCGATGAGGAAGTGTGCGGGGGTGAGCACCTCTAGATCGTCCGCGTCAGCTGTCAGAGGGCAAAGCGGCCTTGAGTTGAGACACGCTTCTATGGTTACGAGGACCGTGGACAACTCTTCGTATGTAAGCCGTCGATCTCCAATGACCCTCTTTAGATGGTATTTAACTGACTTTACATTGGCCTCCCAAAGCCCACCAAAGTTAGGTGACAGAGGAGGATTGAAGTGCCACTGTGTGCGCTGCGTCGCAAGCTTAGGGGCGATCACCTGCTCGTAATCAGCTCGCATCTGCCTGTACACCGCCTTCATTACGTTGTCTGCACCAACGAAGTTGGTACCGTTGTCACTGTCCAGAGCCAGTAAAAAATGCTCCGTGGTGAGACCTGTCACAGCCTCCAAATGAACCGCCTTTGTTGCGAGACAAATGAAAACGGCGATGTATCCCTTGTAGAAGCTAGTGCCTCGTAGACGCGCTGCTTTGATCTCTATCGCGCCTGTGTAGTCGACACCAGTTGCGATGAATGGTCGACTAGGAGGGTTGACTCGATGAACGGGCAAGTCTCCCTTAAGCTGAGTCGTAGTGGTTGGTCGCGTTCTGAAGCAGCGAACGCATTTTCGTATAATCCTTCGAACTGCTTGCTTTCCTGTCAGGATCCAAAATCGCTGACGCGTGTGCGCCAAAGTCATCTGCGCACCTCCGTGTAGCGTTAGATAGTGTGAATGACGTATTACTAATTCTGTGAAATGATGAGAACTTGGCAGGATTATTGGATGACGACGTTCGTGCGACAAATTAGAATGGCGAAGTCGTCCCCTCACTCGCAAAATGCCTTCCACTAAGACCGGCGACAAATTTAGTAACTTGCTTCGGGAGGGCAACCTTTTGGAGTCCCTAACTGCAGACAAGTCGGTTGCGAACGACTCGCGCTGTACGATCCGCACGACCGCTAACAAAGCGTAGTCGAGCTCCTCAATACTTAAGGGCCCAATGCGTTTCTCCTCCTTGCCGACAGCGTTGTTCTTGAAACGCATGATGTAGCCTGTGACTCTTAAAGCCTGGCTGAGTGTAGAAAATTTCTCAAGAAACGATGGTTGCGCGACTGCATGGTGAACGCGCACTTTGGCCACTTTCGCCTCTAACGCGGCGTCGTCAACGCCAACTTGTCCGAAATCTGTCGATGGCCAAAAGCCTTGATTGCGCACGAGCCACTCTGGCCCTCGCCACCACAGCTCGAAGTTCTTTAGCTCGATGGGAGAGAGCCCTCGCGTAGCGCAGTCCGCTGGATTCTCGGAAGTGCCTACGTGTCTCCACTGAACTGGCGAGGAATGATCCAAAACGAAGGCGACTCTATTCGCGACAAAGGTCTTCCATCTATTGACATCCCCGTGCAACCAGTGCAGTACAATTGTAGCATCCGTCCAATAGAAAGTCTGGACCGGAAAGGAACTCAGACACTTAGCCAAAGTTAGCCACCTTACCAACTTGATGGCTAATACCGCTCCACTTAACTCTGTTCGAGGTATAGTTAAGGGCTTCGCAGGAGTAACCTTTGATTTTGCAGCCATCACGGAAGAATAGCACCTTCCGTCCTGATGCTCCACCCTTAGATACACAGCAGTGGAAGATCCATCGCAAAACGCATGCATCTGAACTGAGGATATTGAAGATGGGGTGTAATGGATCCACCGATCTATGCTTATCTCGCCGATCCTTAGCAAGTCGTCTCGAAATCCTCGCCATCGCTCTGCAATATTATCAGGAACCGCATCGTCCCAGTCCAGAACCGTCTGCGAGCCGTCTGCATGCATTTTCTTGGCCATGGTAACCTCCTTCAATATTAGCTTTCCGGAAATGATGACCGGCGCAATGAGACCCAGCGGGTCAAACAACCTTGCTATACTGGATAAGATTATCCTCTTAGTGGAGCTGACTGGAATTTCGAAGTTGATCTGGTATTTAAAACAATCCCTCTTTGGGAGCCAATACATTCCTAAAGCCTTAATAGGATCTGTAGTGTCCCAACTTAACAGGGTCTGACTGCAATGATACTCAGACGGAATCGAGAGCAACAGTCTCGAATCGTTGCTGGACCACTTTCGCAACTCCATGCGCGCGGATTTTATAGCACCCGATACCTGAAGTCGCTTTTCCTCTGCCTCTTCTATAGTATGTCCTCCAGAAAGAATGTCGTCTACATATATCTCGTTCATCAGCACCTCCTCCGCCTTAGGGAATGAAAGCTGCTCATCCTTCGCCAGCTGTTGAATAACCCTGATAGCCGTGAACGGTGCTGAAGCCGTCCCAAAGGTTAGTGTCGATAATGCATAAACGTTGATGGCTCCATCCGCCGCCCGCCATAAAATCCGCTGATATTGGGCGTCTTCTGGGTGCACATCTATACAGCGATACATCTTTTGTATATCCGCCGTGAAAACAAAACGATATTTCCGCCAGTTGAGTATAACCGACGACATGTCGTTCTGCAAAGTGGGTCCGGTACAAAGTATGTCGTTCAATGATCGCCCGTTACTAGTTCGTGAGGAGGCGTCAAAAACAATTCTCTGTTTGGTCGAATGGAGTTCCTCCTTGAAGACTGCATGGTGCGGGAGTACGCAGGAAGCTACATGCCTATTCGCAGATGTGCGCTTCACTAGACTGCTTTCACTGCCCACCGCAGGCGCTATTTGCTCAAGCGAAAAGTACTCCTCGATCTCCTCCACATATTTGTTCCACCGCTCCGGATTGTTTGACAGACGCCGTTCCAGTTGCATAAATCGATTCAGCGCCATTTGATGAGATCTCCCCAAAACCATTGCTGGATCTAAATATGTTTTAAAGGGCAATCGTACCACGTAGCGGCCATCTGATCGACGCACATGAGTTTTCTGAAAAAATGTTTCGCACCAGAGGTCCTCCTCTGTTTCTGTCGAGCGATCAGGAACTGACTCGACTTCGCAGAATCGCTTGAGCAATGATTCAGTGTCCAAAGTTGCTAGATGACAGCGTAACTGCGTAGATTTCCTAACTCCTTCTGCTCTCCCAGACAGTAACCATCCAAAACGAGTATTTTGAGCTATGGGCTCGTCTGGCAATCCAATCCTCGTATCCGGCAGCATGATTTGTGCCAACAAGTCCACTCCCACGATGAGATCCACTCGTTTCGATCGGTAATAATTTGGATCCGCCAACGGGAGCCCTTGTATGTGACTCCATCGCCGCGGCGAAAAGCTAAGCCTGGGGAGGCAGGATGTTACGGAGTTGAGCACATATGCGGAATTTACATCTAATGAAAAATGGGGGTTAATAATACTGGTAATTTTAAAGTTGGCCGTATACTTGCAACGAACACCGCTCCCTTGGCCTACACCAAAAATAGATGCTCTGGCTGCCGATCGTTTCAAATGAAGGGACTGAACAACGTGTTCGGAGACTATGGTAGCCTCAGATCCTTGATCAATGAGCGCATTTATTACTGCCTGCAGGCCGTTGGTCGGATTTTGTACCATAATACGAGCCGTAGCGAGGAGTACATTCTTCGAGGAAAATTCGGATGACGTCGCCGAATGACATCTGTAGGATGCGTGCGGATTCTGCTCCGACACTGTTTCCATGGATGCTGGCGTCACAAACTGCGGTGTCGGCGGCCGGGCAGAATGCGATTGCGCGTGGTTCGATGGCTGGTTCTGAGCCTGAACCGGAAAATGCAGCAACGTATGATGACGCTGACCGCAAACTTGGCAGCTCTGGCTGCTGGTGCAGCGAGACAGGGCATGCGACTTACTCAGGCAATTGACACATAATTTAGCCCTGCTGACTATGTCCTTGCGCCTGTAACAGTCCAACTGCAAGAAAAGTGGACAACGACGCAAGATGTGGTCGCCGCCACAGTGATAACATGCGCTGTTCGAACGCTTTACATGCTCCTGTGCATTATGCACTCGCACGCGTTTAACCGGGTCTGTTGAACCTAGGCCAGCATTGGAGTCGTACGACGAGCTTCGATTCTCAATCGCATCCATTATGACTAGCCGATCGTTCAAGAATGATTCCAAATCCTTATAGGACGGAACCGTTGAAGAGCTTCCTTGGTGGTGCTCCCAAGCGTTGTGTGTCTCCTTGGGCAACTTCGATGCTACGTAATGCGCCAACCAGTGCTGCGATTCCCCGTCCAAGGCTTGAACGCGGCGGAAGGCAGCTAGGCAAACATTGACCGTGCTTAGCATCGACCGTATAGAATCGGTAGTATCCTTTTGTAGTCTGGGCAACGCATATATTGCGTTCATATGGTGCGAGAAAACGAGTCGAGGATTATTGTACCTCTTGATCATCATTCCCCACGCCACTGCATAGTTTACATCCGTGAGCTGCATTTGACGAATGTCATTGTCACGGCCAATTGGCAGTGAATCCTTGAGAAAGTGCAATCTTTGGACATTGCTCAAATTGTGGTTGTTATGTATTAGGCTTGTGAAGGCATCGTAGTAGCCTGGCCAGTCCACACACGCACCCGAAAATTTAGGTACCGTCATTTGCGGCATGTTTACTCGCAACTCCGGATCGGCGTTCCCGGCTGCTGCTGGTGGCGCAGTAGTTTCTGGTCCAAGCTTGTCGAAGTCTTCGGCGAGAGCGCAGTAGGCGTCCATGTAACGCTCCTCGAATTCTGAATGGAAATTCTTCGCAGCATAACTTGAATCATCAAATCCATCTAAATTAACGATCACCGAGTGCGTCTCCCGAAAAGCGTTCCGTAATTCCTCCACCTGATCCAACCTTTTTTTTAGATAAATCCTAGTTTTCCTCGTTTGCGAGTCCTTCCTAAAATTCTGCAGAACAGACCTAAGGGCTTGGTGACGATCTGTTTGCAAATTCACCAACTTGTCCAAATCTAAAACAATCGACTCAGGGTCCATGTTGACAAGTGTAAGACTAAGGCTTCCGCAACTCACCACCCCAAACAATTATGCAATAGGAAAAAGAATCGGTATTGCTTGTCTCGCACACAACTTGGTAACTCACTCAGTTTTGCATACCAGAACCACACCACAAAGAGGAAGCGAAGAGAAGAGGGCGCCCTGCAGATTCCAATCTGCCGTTATTGCGCTTATGTATCGATGTCTTCTCTTGCACTGCTTCGTAGAGCCAGCGTGTCGATCTGACGCAGCCGCGATCTAACGGAATTTATTTAACGGAATTATGACGAACTTTGTAAGAATTTTATTTGCTTTGCAGGTTCCCCTCATGGGCCACCATGTATAGTTGTGTCCCCTTCAACAAGGGGTCATTGTAAGAGGGGTTCCCAGGCAAAGACAAACACGAGAGAATAACTTCAAAACGTTATAATTATTCTGAGCTTCAATGTATGTACAAGTGTGAGACAAAGGTTTTTTTTTAAATTCGTTAGACCGGCGGCGTGCGTTCAGCGTGGGTCGACCGTACAGACTGTTCCTTCTTTTTCTCGTTCCTTCTCATGCTCTCGCTATACACCTTGGTCCAGATGCGCGAACGATCAGCTGATCGGGTCGCTCTCAAACTTGGGAAAGAGTAAAAAAAAGGTTTATGAGAAAAAAAAATAAAATTTTTTTTTTTTTTTTTTATTTAAAAAAAAAAAAAAAAAAAAAAAAAAAAAAAAAAAAAAAAAAAAAATTTATGAGTAGAACAAAGTTGCCATACAATCCTTCTTTCTATCTCTTGTAGTTTTTTCAAAACTGTGTTATATCTGAAAATAAAGGAAAACATGGTAACTGATGAAAATGGTTGGACAAGAAGGTAAGACGGCCAATAACTTTTGATTGGAATGTGCGATTTAAGCCATACTTTCTGAGTTTATAGGTCTTGATGAGTAGAACAAAGTTGCCATACAATACTTCTTTCTATCTCTTGTAGTTTTTTCAAAACCGTCTTATATCTGAAAATAAAAGAAAAACATGGTAACGGATGAAAATGGTGAGACAAGTAGGTAAGACGGCCAATAACTTTTGATTGGAATGTCCGATTTAAGCCATAATTGCTGAGTTTATAGGTCTTGATGAGTAGAACAAAGTTGCCATAAAATCCTTCTTTCTTTCAAAACCGTCTTATATCTGAAAATATAGGAACAACATGGTAACGGATGAAAATGAAAAGACAAGTAGCTAAGACGCCAATAACTTTTGATTGGAATGTCCGATTTAAGCCATACTTTCTGAGTTTATAGGTCTTACAAGTAGGTAAGACGGCCAATAACTTTTGATTGGAATGTCCGATTTAAGCCATAATTGCTGAGTTTATAGGTCTTGATGAGTAGAACAAAGTTTCCATACAATCCTTCTTTCTTTCAAAACCGTCTTATATCTGAAAATATAGGAAAATCATGGTAACGGATGAATATGAAAAGACAAGTAGCTAAGACGGCCAATAACTTTTGATTGGAATGTCCGATTTAAGCCATACTTTCTGAGTTTATAGGTCTTGATGAGTAGAACAAAGTTGCCATACAATCCTTCTTTCTATCTCTTGTAGTTTTTTCAAAACCGTCTTATATCTGAAAATATAGGAAAAGCATGGTAACGGATGAAAATTAAAAGTCAAGTAGCTAAGACGGTCAATAACTTTTGATTGGAATGTCCGATTTAAGCCATACTTTCTGAGTTTATAGGTCTTGATGAGTAGAACAAAGTTGCCATACAATCCTTCTTTCTATCTCTTGTAGTTTTTTCAAAACCGTCTTATATCTGAAAATATAGGAAAAACATGGTAACGGATGAAAATGAAAAGACAAGTAGCTAAGACCGCCAATAACTTTTGATTGGAATGTCCGATTTAAGCCATACTTTCTGAGTTTATAGGTCTTGATGAGTGGACAAAAGTTGCCATACAATCCTTCTTTCTATCTCTTGTAGTTTTTTCAAAACCGTCTTATATCTGAAAATAAAGGAAAAACATGGTAACGGATGAAAATGGTGAGACAAGTAGGTAAGACGGCCAATAACTTTTGATTGGAATGTGCGATTTAAGCCATAATTGCTGAGTTTATAGGGGTTGATGAGTAGAACAAAGTTGCCATACAATCCTTTTTTCTATCTCTTGTAGTTTTTTCAAAACCGTCTTATATCTGAAAATAAAGGAAAAACATGAGTTTATAGGTCTTGATGAGTAGAACAAAGTTGCCATAAAATCCTTCTTTCTATCTCTTGTAGTTTTTTCAAAACCGTCTTATATCTGAAAATAAAGGAAAAACAAGGTAACGGATGAAAATTAAAAGTCAAGTAGCTAAGACGGCCAATAAATTTTGGTTGGAATGTCCGATTTAAGCCATACTTTCTGAGTTTATAGGTCTTGATGAGTAGAACAAAGTTGCCATACAATCCTTCTTTCTATCTCTTGTAGTTTTTTCAAAACCGTCTTATATCTGAAAATAAAGGAAAAACATGGTAACGGATGAAAATGGTGAGACAAGTAGGTAAGACGGCCAATAACTTTTGATTGGAATGTGCGATTTAAGCCATAATTGCTGAGTTTATAGGTCTTGATGAGTAGAACAAAGTTGCCATAAAATCCTTCTTTCTATCTCTTGTAGTTTTTTCAAAACTGTCTTATATCTGAAAATAAAGGAAAAACATGGTAACTGATAAAAATGGTTGGACAAGTAGGTAAGACGGCCAATAACTTTTGATTGGAATGTGCGATTTAAGCCATACTTTCTTAGTTTATAGGTTTTGATGAGTAGAACAAAGTTGCCATACAATCCTTCTTTCTATCTCTTGTAGTTTTTTCAAAACCGTCTTATATCTGAAAATAAAGGAAAAACATGGTTACTAATGAAAATGGAAAGACAAGTAGGTAAGACGGCCAATAACTTTTTATTGGAATGTCCGATTTAAGCCATACTTTCTGAGTTTATAGGTCTTGATGGGTAGAACAAAGTTGCCATACAATCCTTCTTTCTATCTCTTGTAGTTTTTTCAAAACTGTCTTATATCTGAATATAAAGGAAAAACATGGTAACTGATGAAAATGGTTGGACAAGTAGGTAAGACGGCCAATAACTTTTGATTGGAATGTCCGATTTAAGCCATAATTGCTGAGTTTATAGGTCTTGATGAGTAGAACAAAGTTTCCATACAATCCTTCTTTCTTTCAAAACCGTCTTATATCTGAAAATATAGGAAAAACATGGTAACGGATGAATATGAAAAGACAAGTAGCTAAGACGGCCAATAACTTTTGATTGGAATGTCCGATTTAAGCCATACTTTCTGAGTTTATAGGTCTTGATGAGTAGAACAAAGTTGCCATACAATCCTTCTTTCTATCTCTTGTAGTTTTTTCAAAACCGTCTTATATCTGAAAATATAGGAAAAGCATGGTAACGGATGAAAATTAAAAGTCAAGTAGCTAAGACGGTCAATAACTTTTGATTGGAATGTCCGATTTAAGCCATACTTTCTGAGTTTATAGGTCTTGATGAGTAGAACAAAGTTGCCATACAATCCTTCTTTCTATCTCTTGTAGTTTTTTCAAAACCGTCTTATATCTGAAAATATAGGAAAAACATGGTAACGGATGAAAATGAAAAGACAAGTAGCTAAGACCGCCAATAACTTTTGATTGGAATGTCCGATTTAAGCCATACTTTCTGAGTTTATAGGTCTTGATGAATAGAACAAAGTTGCCATACAATCCTTCTTTCTATCTCTTGTAGTTTTTTCAAAACCGTCTTATATCTGAAAATATAGGAAAAACATGGTAACGGATGAAAATGAAAAGACAAGTAGCTAAGACGGCCAATAACTTTTGATTGGAATGTCCGATTTAAGCCATACTTTCTGAGTTTATAGGTCTTGATGAGTGGACAAAAGTTGCCATACAATCCTTCTTTCTATCTCTTGTAGTTTTTTCAAAACCGTCTTATATCTGAAAATAAAGGAAAAACATGGTAACGGATGAAAATGGTGAGACAAGTAGGTAAGACGGCCAATAACTTTTGATTGGAATGTGCGATTTAAGCCATAATTGCTGAGTTTATAGGGGTTGATGAGTAGAACAAAGTTGCCATACAATTCTTTTTTCTATCTCTTGTAGTTTTTTCAAAACCGTCTTATATCTGAAAATAAAGGAAAAACATGAGTTTATAGGTCTTGATGAGTAGAACAAAGTTGCCATAAAATCCTTCTTTCTATCTCTTTTAGTTTTTTCAAAACCGTCTTATATCTGAAAATAAAGGAAAAACAAGGTAACGGATGAAAATTAAAAGTCAAGTAGCTAAGACGGCCAATAAATTTTGGTTGGAATGTCCGATTTAAGCCATACTTTCTGAGTTTATAGGTCTTGATGAGTAGAACAAAGTTGCCATACAATCCTTCTTTCTATCCCTTGTAGTTTTTTCAAAACCGTCTTATATCTGAAAATAAAGGAAAAACATGGTAACGGATGAAAATGGTGAGACAAGTAGGTAAGACGGCCAATAACTTTTGATTGGAATGTGCGATTTAAGCCATAATTGCTGAGTTTATAGGTCTTGATGAGTAGAACAAAGTTGCCATAAAATCCTTCTTTCTATCTTTTGTAGTTTTTTCAAAACTGTCTTATATCTGAAAATAAAGGAAAAACATGGTAACTGATAAAAATGGTTGGACAAGTAGGTAAGACGGCCAATAACTTTTGATTGGAATGTGCGATTTAAGCCATACTTTCTGAGTTTATAGGTCTTGATGAGTAGAACAAAGTTGCCATACAATCCTTCTTTCTATCTCTTGTAGTTTTTTCAAAACCGTCTTATATCTGAAAATAAAGGAAAAACATGGTTACTAATGAAAATGGAAAGACAAGTAGGTAAGACGGCCAATAACTTTTTATTGGAATGTCCGATTTAAGCCATACTTTCTGAGTTTATAGGTCTTGATGGGTAGAACAAAGTTGCCATACAATCCTT